GCTGAGTGGTGAGAAAAAGACTGGTAGAAGGACCTGGGAAAGAGGAAGGGAGGGAGGAAGGGTGAAAAGAGGGAAGGAAAGAAAAAGAGCTGGTGGAGGCACTTGGCACAGAGATGTGTGAATAGAAAGCTATCCTTGCTTCTCAGCCTTCAAGTTATACCAAGAATCTGGGGCCCACAGAAGGAGACACTTGAAAGACAAATATGGGTGAGTGAGAGCCCCTAGAGGATGCTGATTATAGCAGCCTTTGTTTTGATTTGTAATTTGATATTGTTCTTTTCCTTGCCTGGCCTGTCTGCCCCTTTCCTATGGGTTGACACAAGAAGCCTTACACTTGTGGCAAGATTTGGGGCCTTAGTGGGCCTGCTTTGGGCCATCTGTGTGGCTAGGAATGTATCCATGAGTTATTTTGTGTGTTTAATTGGAAACTTTTTTTTTATTAAAAAGTTTATTTTTACATCATTTTGCACATTTTTTTTCATCTCAATTGTAATCCCCACGGGTTTCCCATCACCAAATCACCCCTGTGCCACCACCATAGTCCCGTGCATTTCCCTCCCTTCCCCCCCCCTCTTTTTGGTCCCATTCCCCATTCCACCCCCACAGAATGTCTCTGGTCTATGGTTGTTCATTATTTTTGTTATTTTCTCGCCTGATCCATTATACTCCTGCTATGAGTGAAACCATCCGGTATTTTTCTTTCTCTTTCTGGCTTATCTCACTAAGCATGATCTTTTCCAGCTCCATCCAAGTTGCTGCAAAAGACATGTGTTTCTCTTTTTTGGTTGCTGAGTAATATTCCATTGTATATATGTACCACATCTTTCTAATCCAGTCATCTACTTTTGGGCATTTGGGCTGCTTCCATGTTTTTCCAATTGTAAATAAAGCAGCAATAAACATGGGGGTACAAGTATCTTTTTCAATCAGTGTTTTTGTGTCTTTTGGGTAGATACCTAGGAGTGGGATTGCTGGGTCATAGGGAAGCTCCATGTTTAGCAGTTTGAGGAACCTCCAAACAGTTTTCCATAGTGGTTGTACTAGTTTGCATTCCCACCAGCAATGCAGGATAATTGGAAACTTTTTAATCAAAACTATATTCTTTGTCTTCTATGTATCATACTAATTGTCTTGACTACTTTTATTGATGGTCTTAAACACTAAAAGTATGTTTTGCTTTTCTGCAGTGGATAGCTGACCCCATTTAGAGCAGGCAGGTTGGGGAGTCTGGGAGTACTCCTTATTCTTCCCGCTTACACTCCTACTCCAGACCTAAGTGAGAAAGCCTTGGTTTAACCCTGACCCTGCAGCCTGTGACTTAGTAAGTCCTTCAGTCGATTGTGATGCATGTTCAAATTTGAGGCCATCTGCCTAAACTTACTCTGTGAGGATGCAATGCAGACACATGGAGTGGTTTAGAGTCTGTCTCTCATGTAGGAGGGTAGATGGATTAGTCAGGCTCTCTGGGTGAAAAGCTCTAATTTTCAAGGGTACATAGCAGAATAAGCGGGATGTTGACAACATAGACAGGTTTCCTGAAGACTGGGTGCTTTCAAGAGGTACTAATCTGAGAGCAGTTCCAATGAAGCACTAGGCAGTCTTTGCCTCCCAAGTGTGCAGGCAGAGAACCCTACTGTTGCATATCATTCCTTAGCTAGTCTGTCACTTCATTTCTGCTTATACAAACTTTATCCTCTGTTTAAATTCCCAAGATTATCTGATTGGCCTGGTTAATCACTTCATCATTTGGGCAATGTTTCCTTTAACATTCACCTAACTTCTAAACTCTTCTAAGATAAAGATTGATTTTTCTTGGGTCAGATTTCCACCAAGTCCAATAAGTTGGAACCAAAATGAAATGCAGATTTTAGTGAAGATTCTCCTAAGGCTGTTTCTCTTAAAAGGTCTTTAGGGGCCACTTAGCATGTGGGCTTATCACTGTGGGTTTATCACAAAAGTGAGGCTTGACCTGTTAGTGATATTGAGGTGTTTCCTGACCCTAAAATTCATGTGTATTTTTTTTGACACAAAAGGAGATGTTAAGCATTTGTTTAATTATATCCTTTTGGATTGAGTTTTTACAAAAAAAAAGAAAGAAAGAAAGAAAGAAATAGTTCCCTTTCAAAATTTTCTAAAGGAAACTTTTTGTGTACCAATGTAGGAATGTTATGAGCCAAATTATTTTGGAAAAAGATTGTAGGAGCTGTATTTTACGCAGAGATTCTGTTTACATAGTATCATTCACTATAAGCCATAACTAGAAGCAGCTTGTTGGCTTTTTTAAAAAACCCATTTACAAAAAATAAAATCAAGTGATTTTTTTCTCTAGACCATTATAGTTTGGTGTTCTAAAGCTCTCATTTAATAACTAGACTGACCTCTGTACATATACTAAAATGACCTGAACAACCAAAAAGCCCGTCCAAACCCAAAGGTTTGTCTTTATAGAAGCATGTGGTCCCTATCTAAGAGCCATAATGATGCCATAATTCACTTGAACATCCCTGAATCATTTTTTTTTTTAAAGATTTATTTATTTGTGCATACAGAACTGGGGTACAGGCCAGAGGCTCAGGGGCGGTGAGAGGCTTCACCAGAGACAGAGCGGGGAGCAGAACAGGCAGATCGACGAAACACACCGCTGAGGGGAGCAGCGGGCGGGTCAGGAGAGGTCTGCGCCACACCATGTGGTCACCTCCAGGGCAGGCGGGAATCGAACTCATGCGGAAGCGGCTTTAGATTCTCAGTGCTGTGCTTTAACCCGCTGCGCCACCAGGGAGGCCCCTGAATCATTTTTTAATGTCAAAATTAAATTTGTACTTCATTCAAAACCTTGCAATATCCATTTACATGGTACCATGTCACCAAATAACTAATTTGTTTTAAAAATAACTACTACCTTTAAGTTTAAATAATTTGGGTGACCAGGATAATCAAAATTTAATTTGGCTTTATCAAATGTGACTGATTGGTTATTGCTTATAAAAGCATATTTAGAGCTATTATTTACATTTTGAGTTGTTTCAGGTCTCCTTTTCGAGTCCATACTCAATTTTGGTTTTAGTTACATTTTCTCTTGATAATACAGACCCTATAACCGTGGTCCAGTGTCTGTTTTTAAAAGTAAAATGTGCATTTACTTCAAAATGTGCCTCGCAAAAAGAATTAAGCAAAAACATTCAGTATACTAGTGAAAAATCATGAATCCCAAACTTTTGTTTTTAGGTACTAACAGTTGAATCAGGAGCTTTGGAAGTTTTTGACACTTTTGGCAATGTTTGCAAGCAGTTTATAAGATTATTTATTTTGAAACCAGTCTAGGAAGGTTATAACACTCTATTTGTCTATCTTGCAGTGACATGAAATGAGAAAACTGAAGTTTTTAATCATTAAGCATTTCAAAAAGAAATAACCTTTTTTTTTTTTTTTTTTTTTTTTAAGATTTATTTATTTGTGCATACAGAACTGGGGTACAGGCCAGAGGCTCAGGGGTGGCAAGAGGCTTCACCGGAGACAGTGGGGGGCAGAACAGGCAGATCATGAAGTACACTGCTGAGGGAAGCAGCGGGTGGGCCAGGAGAGGTCTGCCACACCATGTGGTCACCTCCAGGGCAAGTGGGAATCGAACTCATGAGGAAGTGGCTCTAGCTTCTTAGTGCTGCGCTTCAACCCGCTGCGCCACCAGGGAGGGCCAGAAATAACCTCTTTTAAGGGGAAAATGCATTCTAGTTGTGTTGCTTGATAGGGCTATACTTTCAAATTGCATTTTAAGATGTGGTATTGTTAACCCAACTGAGTCAAAAAGAAAAATCTGCCTTATCTGGTAAACATTTTCTCTTCTAAAGTTAAATTATCTTGGTAAAATCAGTCGTCACAATCTTTGGCATTACAAATCACCTATAAGCTGAACAACACACATAGTCTGCAGAAGTCTTACATCTTTCAAACTAAGAGTTTAGGTTTTTTAAAAAATAGAGTAAGATTTGTTTTCCGTCTCTCCATTTTATAAAAATGTAAAGAAACCCAATAGTGCTCATTTATATTTTTATACTCAACTCCTATTTCTTAAAAAATAAAACCTTACATGACCAGATATTGGTCAAGACCTGAAAATGCTAAAAAAGAAGTCCCTCTACTTTGAGGATTTTAGAAAACCCATTTCAATATATACCAATGTTCACAATTTATAGCAGAGATTTAGTATTAAGAAATAAGTTTATTTTCATGAAGACACCAGCAGATGTCAGTAGAAGCTAAGACCGTACACACACTTGTACAAGAGTGCAAGCTATTTCTAGCAGGGTGACAATGTAATTAGAAAACTCCTATTTACCAAAACTCAGTTCAAGACACCTGTTTTCTACACTATACCTCAACTTGTGATGGAGAGGAGTGGGAATGAGGTCAGTGCGATCTAACTTTTCAGGGTGGCAAGAATTCCTTCAAAAAAGTGGACTGCTCTGATTTTGTTCAACAAAATCTGCCTACAATACTACATAAGAAGTTAAACTGTACACAGTTGTCTTCATCTATTCTAAAACAAAATGAAATGGTTTACTGAATATTGACTTCATCCATATATTTCAATGTATGTTGAGTAGTTCTAAAGAAGGGGTATCTGTGAGTACCTAAGTGCATTTTTCTGGAAAGAAAGTCATACCTTTCATCAGCTTCTGACAGGGGTCTTTGACCGCCATAAAATTAAGAACTGTACTAGAATTTACTAAAGTTATATTCTTCATATTAATAGATCTCCCCACATATATATGTATATATGTATACACACTCTCTCCCTCTCCTTCATGCCTCAAAATACATCTGCTAAAAATTACTTGGCTGAACCTGCCAAGGAAAGTTTCAGAGTAGACTGTCAGGTTCTAGAACAAGTCGCAAGTTAATAGAATAAGATATGATACATATTTTTTTAAGGCTCTTTACTTATACAAAATATTCCACAGGTAAATAGTTATTTTCTTACATTTGAAAAAAAAAAAACCACATGGGATTCCATTTATTTTATTCAAATATATACATGCATCTTTTTAAACATTTGCAGTCAATATTAAGATCAATGTTTGTGGTCTTATGTTAACATTACCAGCATTCACATATAGTAGAAACTTTTTTGTTTTAGAACAAGAACATTCAAATTATTTATCAGTCTTGAATGATACTAATGCAAAATACAACAGGATAGAGACATCATCATTGTATTCTCTATTTCTATAATTTTATATTAAAAGATATTAAATGGACTGGTAATTTTTCCCAAAACACAGCTTTTACTATAGCCTACTCTATCATATATACCTTTCTCTGTAAATATTTTTGCATGCTCACTAAAATTTTCATCTCAAATAGGTATAATGAATAAAGATCAGCAAATTATTCAGAAATATTCCCTTTAAAGAGATTATTACTATCTTTGAAAAATAACACAAGTGTCCTACAAGGGGATTCTGAAATATAACAAGTTCATTTAAAATATAGCAATTTCCTCAACTGAAGAGATATTCCTGTTTTAAATTAAAATCTAAGATTTTAGTTTGTCTTAGAAAAGCCTAACCAATATTAAGTTATACTTAAAAGCAACAAGCATGACAGTAGTAACCAACTAAGGTCTTAAAGATACTGGAAGTTCAGAAAAAAGTTGTAATCTACATTTATATTCTCAACTACAAAATATTTAATTCAGAAAACAATAGAGCATCTGACTTAACAAGGCTAAAACAGTCTTTCTGCCAACGTTCTGTTGAAACATATAGATCAAGGAATTGATAAATTAACTCTTGATAACTAGATCATGAACAATTACAACTTATAACTGGCTTTCCAAGTAAAACCAGTCATTTTAAACATACCGAAAGTAAAGCAGGAATGAAAATTCTATAATCAATTCAATCTGAATTAAATTTGGCTTCAAGGCTAAAAATTATTTCAAATAGCTAAAAACTCGTTTGATTAATATACTGTATCAGGGAAAACAAAAACATCCAGTTTGTGGTACTACCTTAGATGGTAAGATTTTAGACAGAATGACAGATATTTTGACTGGTAGCTGTCAAAAATTAAAAACTACATAGAAGTTACCTCCTATCCCTATTCACACTTCACCACAGAAATTCCAACACTAGTTTGCAAGAAGTTGACACTATGTAACCAGAGCATTTTTTTACTTTTCCTCTCCCTTACTATTCCATTAAGGAGCCTTTATTATCCTGTTAATCCTAATTGATTACCTCACACATTTAATGCCACTGATATTTTTTATGTATTTTATGTATATCTGTGTTCTATATATAAAGGATATATTTCCCACCAAGAAAATTTCAATAAAAATACAAGATCTAAGCCATGAAATGTTTACAATTCATAACATTTGAAGACTAGAAGGGATAAATGACATTTTTAGCCCTTAGATATGCACATTATTTTCAAAATACACTCAATCACTTTGTTGTGTGAAAATTATTTTCCCTGAAGTAGGCACTATTCTTAGCTAGAGGCAGTCCTTGCCTTGCATGATAGTGTGGAGCCAAAAAATGACCATTTAAAAATAGCTTACAAATCAGTGAGAAAAGTTGAATGCTTTGTGACCTTGTAAATCTGTCAAAATATTAAAAACTGAGATATAAATGTAGAAAATAAATTTTGCACACTGCAAATTACGACACAAGCATCAAAGTATTTACTATAAAAAACTAATTGAGGGGTTTGAATTGAGCCTTTTAAAACTGTAAATTGAACTTTTAATGATAAATTATCATATTTTTTTATGTTTGGATCAGGCTCCACCATTTTATTTGTGATTTCAGTGTGTGAATTTCCCATTTTCCTTTAATGTGAAGTTTTTTACTGTGACCTTCTGAGACATACTCATCTGTTTCATCACAACCACTTCCCCATTTACTCTGGTAAGAATGCCATCAGTAAGTATGATAGAGGCTCTAGAATAGAAGTGCCAGCACTCCCATTTTCAGTCAATTCTACAATCTCACTTAAGTTTGACTGAAATTTTTGTTAGCATTATCATTTTTTATTTCTTTGCTGCTTTTTAATCTTTGTCAGATGTGCAGTCACCAACTCTAGCAGAACTGAGAATGTGATTGATTGGTCACTGATCATGAAATACATCTAACTCAGATTGAATTTTGGACCTAAAAGTGAGCAGACAAGTGTTTCATATAATCACTCAGTTAATAGCTGTGATTACTGAAATTTGAAGTGTGCTAGGGCTGGTTATGTTTAAGTCATCAATTGGGAATTGACTATATCCTGCTTATTTACATTGATCCAGACTGGTTTAAAGTTGACTGCTGAACAATAGCCCATATATAGTAATATGAAGCAACAGATCTTACAGCACCCAGTACGTAATGTTAATGTGTATTAAGATGGTTCTCAAGTTTTGTTATTTGGCATTCAACTTTTAAATATATTTTAAAATAGAAACTTAGAAAAAGCGAAAAGACTTATAAGATTGCATAGTTTGATACCCCAAATTATCCAGCATGTTTATTATGAATTATTTCTCCTCCTTCAATTTCAATTTGCTCATACAGCCACTTGCGGTCACAGCGGCACTCAGCTCCACATTTGGTTGAACCACAAGCAGGACAGGCATAGAAACACCCCAAGCAATCTTCATCAAGGCAGTCACAGAGGTCCATTCCACTGAAAATTAGGAGGCCCTGGCTATCATAGACCTTACTCTTTGCTGGTATCACTTGTCTGTAAAATAAAACACAAGGTGAATTACATGTATAATATAACAAGTATATGATTTCTGATGATTGAATTTAAAAATGTGATAAACAATTGAGGTAAAATATCTTCAGTCATGAATGAAGCCCTGTCAAAATGGTACATAACTTATCAGATTTAAGGCTAGTTTATAATTAGTAGTAAATAAGCTGATATGAAAAAAAAGCCCTCACATTATAACTTTAGAAATGTTCATTTTAAAAAGTCATCTAAACAATTTAGTTGTCCATTCATTCTGTCGACTGTATCATAACTATTCTGTTGCAGAGAAGTAAAAAATGAAAAGCAACCTTGCTTTAAGATGCTCCCACAGATCTACCAGTAACAAAGTATGCTTTTTAAAAAGGTATTCACTTCTCAGAGATAAGTTTTAATGTTATCTTGCTCACTTCATTCTCAGAAACATATTTTTAGAGCTGAAAGGAAGCCTTGAGATTTATACTAACTCTAGGTTATCTCACTCAAGATTTTACCCAGAAAGTCAAAGTAAGGCACAAGGAAACAATATAGCTGTAAAGCAACAAGATACCATGTGTCTTAAGTAACCCGTAGCCTACCTTACCTGTCTGAACCAGCAGTTGCATTTTTGGTGAGCCTCCTTTTCTCTCTCTTGCCAGTTTCTGGAGCAAATTCAGTTTGCTTCCCTGGGTTTGCAAACTGTAATGACCTCAAAGCTTTGGCAGTTCTTCCCTGAATAAAAATTAATTAGCAACTTAAATCTTGACATCAAAACAAAAATAGATTCATATGCCACTTAAAGTTATCAAGATTATCCCTTAACCGAGAGCATAGTCTGGAACTCACAAATATATTCTAAGGAAAGGATTTCGAAAAAAGGACTTTTTTCCAACAAAATCTTATAGCCTGGGACCATACTCAAAGTTTAATTTATTACATTTTCATTAGCTAATTTCAGTTTCTGGAATATTAAAGGACAGACACCATGATTACTGCAAAGGCTGCTGCCAACATAATACAATCTGGCAGGAAAACTGCTGTATAACCATATTTGAGGTTCCATATAATGAATCTGAGTGCTTAAGAAAAGGCTCAATAATGTTTTCTAAAAGCAGAGAATAAGGATTCAAGTTCTAAAATATTATCATGATCTTTTAAAAGGCTTTGATTTTTTTTTATGATTAAGAGTTTAAATTTGTTACTTGGGGGGAAATGTTTCATGTGATACATTGCATAAGAACAATGGGTAAAAGTGGAGGTGACATCTAAAGTGACAGTGGTTCCAAGTACTCTGTATGAACTATAAGGTAACACTGGTCCCAAAGATGTGTCTCCAAGAGGATGAAAAAGAAAACATTACATATAATCACAACTTTTCATTATTTTTTAATTTGGTTTACTACTCTAATGGAAATGAGAAAATATCTCAACAGTAAGAATTATAAAATGGTCATGAATAGAAATTTTGAAGAGCTATTGACAGATGTGTCCTTGTTTTATTCCAAAGAGTTTTATGAAATCTTAAATTATTCTGATATAGTTAAGTAATCTTGATGAAGGCACTATAAATTTTATTATTAAATGTTACAATGTAAATATTTTTGAATATAGGGCGTGCTAAAGTTAGTCTTCACCATGCTAAGTAAGAATTCAAAACAAAAAGGAAAACCCAGGAAGCTTAATAACCTGAAGAGAAAGAAAGGTAGAAATAAACCATTGTTGCAAATCACTTGTTTTTGGCAGTCACTTTTAATTATTTCATAAAGGGGTATTCATTCTGTTAAATTTGCTGCTTTTTGGGGGATTAGAAAAGAAACTATGTTGAAGACCTGGCTTTTCCAAAATTTTCTAAGAGCCACTTTTAACATCTTAAAACTAGGTGTTGTAGTTTAGAGTCGGGCATATTATAATTTAAGATTATAAAATAAATTTTATATTTATATTTATAAAATTTTATATTTATATTTATAAAATTTTATATTTATAAAATTTAAGATTATAAAATAAATAACCTGCATGTTATTCCTTTAACAAGCCTGTTTTTTGCTTTTTCCTGATGACCCAATTTGGATATAGGAAGATATTTAGAAATGTCACTTATTTTTACTCCCTGGCTTTATAGTCACTTCATGCTAATTAGCATTATAAATAATAATGTAAATATGATTTCCTTACAGTCAAATGAAATCCCACTACAGAAGTAACACTGGGAAAACATGGTGACAATACATACATCTGAATCTGGCTTTCTTCTCTGCCGGTCTTCAGAATCAACATCCACACTTCCGTTGATTATCTGTGTACATTTTGGACAAAGTTTCCAACCAGGTACAAGCTGTCTTCCAAATTTTGCACTCAGAAAAGTGGCATCATCTAAGTCAATTACATGTAAATTTTTTTTGGCTAATTTTTTGTGTATGTTAAATGGGTCACAACAAGACTTCTGCAAATCTTCAAATCTGTCAATGTAAATTTTTGCATGATGGAAGCAAATTGTATTGTTCCCAGAAAGTGTCATTCCAGTTCTAAGCTGAAGTAAAAGCATATCATTTGATGACAATTCTTGCAACGTCTTGAAACCTGTGTGACGAGTATAGTAGGTTTTATGGCACTCATTTGTGGTACGAAGCTGGACTCCAACTGAACATGGATCCATCATTCTTGATTCTACCAAATTCTCTATTACTTTGTCTAGAGATCTCTCTTGTAGGTCACATGCTGTCACCTTAAACAATAAGGAAAAACTTAATTGAATTCTTAAGAAAATGTTCAAGAGAATCCAGAGTTTCCAGACTTTATCTGGAAAAGTGAAAAAAACAATTGATAAAGTAAAAAACTTCGTAAGTTAAGATATAAAAAGGCACTTACTGACAGACTACAATAAATACAGTATATTTAATTTAATCATTAGAAGCATTCCCTAGAACCACATAAGAACACTTGCTGGCACAGCTTTCATTTACTACATAATGGATATAAGGATTGAAAAGAAACAAGAACTATTACTCAGAGATGATCTAAATGTCCACATGGGAAGTAAAAGAAAGCTTAACAGACGAACTATTGGAACGAGTAAGGTAATTCACCAAGGATGCTGAAAACCAAAGACATGTTAGGATACCATAAAAATACATAAAAGACATATAAGACTTCAATGGAGAAAATGATCAGACAGAGGACAAAAGATACCCTAAATAAATGTATGACTATATCACAAGAGTCTAGCTACAGTAAATGTGTCAGTTCCCCCAGAATTATAAATTCAAAACTGTTTCAGCCAAAAGCCCTTCAGGTGTTCCACCCACTTCTACTCTGGAACTTAACCTGGTTTATATGGAAGAAGAAAGGTTCACAGTAATCTTGAAGGAAAACAAAGAATGATTTGCTATAAAACTACTATAATTAAAAGTGTGCTTTTAGTATGATACAGACAGATCCAAGAAAAGATGAGAGCTTGGTATATGCCATGTGGTACTAAAACTCAATGGTATTACACACGAATGGGAAAAAATACTAACTGATCATATGAAAAAATAATATGAATATGTTCCCCACAAATACTCCAAATGGATTAAAAACTGTAGGCCCTCCCTGGTGGCATGGGTTAAAGCACAGCACTAAGAAGCTAACGCTACTTCCGCATAAGTTCGATTCCCGCCTGCCCCGGAGGTGACCACATGGTGTGGCAGACCTCTCCTGACCCGCCCAGCTGCTCTCCTCAGCAGTGTACTTCATCGATCTGCCTGGTCTGCTCCCCACTCTGTCTCTGGTGAAGCCTCTTGCCGCCCCTAAGCCTCTGGCCTGGACCCCAGTTCTGTATGCACAAATAAATCTTTAAAAAAAAAAACTAAAAAACTGTAAAAATATAATAAAATATAGAAGTTTGGTGACACAAGGATAGAGAATAATTTCTAATAGGAAACCACCTAACAAAAGAAAAGATAACTACATTTGTGTGAGATTAAATATTTTCTTTAAAGGAAGGAAAAAAAGTCACTTAAAAATTGTTATATTATCCAAAATATGTTAAAACTTTTTGACTTTTACAAATATATTAGAAAACCCATTTAGGAAACAGGATAGGTAATTCACTGAGGAAGAGAACAAAAGTGTCAATAAATGCATGCAAAAATGTTCAGCCTCATGGTTATCAGGAATATGCAAATTAAATACTAGTTTTTCAAACTTTTGGCAAAATTTAATCTGATAACCAAGTGCTGGCTAAAACATGGTCAACTTTTACATGTTTGTTTATATACTTGTAAGGAATATAAATTGTTGCAACTAGTTTTAGAGTGGTTTTAGCAATATTGCACAAGATTGAGGAGGTGTACTCCAGTACCTTCACTTTTAGTTATAGTATCTGTGCTAGAGAAATATACTTTCCATAGGAACACAGATTATACACAAGGAGCCAGCATTTCCTAATTAATGATAGTAAAAAGTTGGAAACAATCTAACTGTAAAGGAGAAAATGAGAGTTACTCATACAGGTGGCTCAGTAAAAAAATAGCAATCACAGATCTGGAAGACAAGTAAAAAAGCCTGTAAAAGGACAGCGTATCATTTATATAAATTTTAAACACACAAAACAGTACATGTTTGATTGTAACCATGAATATATACTGAAATATAGGGAGTAACAGCAAATTTCTGGACATTTCTAAGGGAATGGACTAGGAAGTTATTCCAAATGTATAATCTTAAGGCCTTAGACCAACTGAATTAGAATCTATATTTTAAGATCCCTAGATAATTCATAAGCATATTACAGTTCGAGATACATAGCCTCTGACTAATTCAATTAAATATTTATCAAACATTTACTACAATGTTAGGGACATGGAAAAATGAGCAGAAATACATCTTACATAGATAGGCAATTGTGTTTCAGGAAGTTTGACAACACAGCAGTTGCCAATTTGATACAACAGGTAGGAGAAAAATATTTCAGTTAAAAGCTATACTGTTGAGAGCGTATCTCCAAAGAGTTTCACATTCTGATTATATGTGAGTTCTCAATCTTTCATTGCATTTGAGCTATTTTACAACTATGAACTATAGATAACTAACAATAATGGAAAATTATTCTTGTCTATTCCTTGTAAATTCTGATTGGTGGAGGTTCAATTGACTCCATGCCCCACTGTGGAAGACCAGAATTGTGTAGCCATTTGCTCAATTATTTAGTCAATAAAAGTGTGTGTTCTTTCGATTGTCACTGGAACTGATTATCTTACTAGCCCCCTCAATAATTATAAGGGCAAGTAAAAATCATGTGTTCTAATTTTATCTTTGTGTTAATCCTATTTCTCTTTCCCCTTTTCATTGCAAGTGGTACATAGGAACAATTTAAGAAGTAGGATAACATGCAAATCATTAACAAACTCCAAATTCTCATCTGCCTCATTTGTGAATTTAAGAAAGATTAGCTGAACTGCTCATTCCCTTGATCAACTGGAATAAAAATGCTTAGTAATCAAACTTAAGTTTTTCTCTTTCCTCGAGGTCCCTGAATTCTGGGGAACCTTCAGCCAGAACGAGTGAATAGCCCCATAAATTGGACTCAGGACAAAGCAATAATAGACCTACAAAACACTAAATAATCTACAATGGGTTTTATTCTAGCATTGTTTACTCCTCCTTTGAATGCTGGTAGATACTTTGCTCAGAATTCTTTCCATTACAATAGCTCCCATTTCACTTGTAGTAATTTTTGAATAATGCCTCTCTTTGCTAATTCTGGATTTTTTTAATTTGATAATTTTTATAGCACTATCAGAAGTATCCAGAATGAAATAAAGGAGCTTTATTAGACTCCTTGTCTATATTTCCCAATGAAAAGAACTGAAGCTAGTCTAGTTACCAAGGCTGTTACAGTGCTTGATATACTACTCAAGTATTATAAAAACACCTAATTTTACTTAACTAAAAAAAAACATTTATTTATGCATATAGAACTGGAGTGCAGGCCAGAGGTATAGGGGCAGTGAGAGAATTCAAAGAGACAGATCCAGAATCACAACAGGCAGATCCAAGAAGTACACTGCTGAGGGGAGCTGTGGGTGGGTCAGGAGAGGTCTGCCAGGAGAAACTTAACTCGCACTTAAGCTAGATGCAGCTTGTTTGCACTACTGTGCTTTAACACACTGTGCAACTAGGAAGGGCCCTAATTTTACTTTATATGAGGACTTTTTCTTAATTTGATCCTGGTGATTTACTCCAGGCTTACCTAATATACTTCAGATTTTTAAATGCGTTGTCCAGTGTATCTTCAGATTTATTGTCTAACAATGGCAACCCTGTCAAACTTCCAAGCCCCATGTACAGTTTGTTTCCATTCCCGTGGTCCTTAAAGATCAAAGAGAACAACTGAGAGTTATTTCAAGAGCAAGAATGAGCAATGCTCGCCTCATTCTGCCTCATTCTACCTCATTCTGGATGTGGCCAAAATCGTTAAATAATACTTATTAACACAATGGGTAATGAGCAAGTGATTGTGAGATGGAACTTTATTCTGTTGAAAAGACTCTCACTTTTCCTAAAAATTAAAGTCTGAACACTACTAGTCCTTCAGGTAAAATTACACTACCTGCAAAGCTTTGTTTGCTGAGGTTGGCATCCTTAGCCCTTTCTATGCTAAGCAGTAATAACCTGTCCTTCAAGTCTGTCGAGCCTTACTCAAACACTATTGTTCTAGGCCCTTCTTACTCATGTTTGCACACCGCTTTCAATCTTCTTGCAGCTGCTGGGAGACAGGAACATATATGTCACCCAAGTGAATAACTTCAGGGACTGCACTTTTTATAGAACTCATTACAGGCTTATTACTTGTTAATTCTTTCCATGACATATTAAGCTTTCCATTACATATTAAGGGCAAGGAATCAGTCTTGTTTACAGCTGCACCATCTCTAACCGCACAGTCACTTCATAGACACTTGGGTCTTTTGAATGAATACATCAATCTCACACCAAGAATGCTCAATTTCCCTGAATCTTGATTCCTAGGTCCCTAGGACTCTGTGATCAGCCCCTCCCCTTCCGATCCCATAGTGACATAAGGCCCCTAGGTTCACAGTTATTCAAAATGTTTAAAGCCACAAGATATGTATGTCCAATAATAACTTACTATGTATGCCCTCACTAAGGAAAAAAAAGACAACTTGGCCTCAGACTTAGTTAGGGCCGGGAGGATTCCGACAAAGACCGGACAAGGCATTCCGACACAGACAGACACAGACACACACGGAGAGATCCAGGCTGTGGAGGATTTCACGGCCACAGCAGCTTCACCTAAATAGCTTCACCAAAGCCTAAACCAGGGCTTTGAACGTGGCAGGCCTCTGAAAGAGTGGCGACAAGCGAGGAAGGGGACGGAGGAGGTGCAAACTGTGCCGGGCCTAACAGGGGGGGCTACAGACGAACGTGCGGCGTCTGAGAGGGTGTCTAGGGCGGAAGCCTGCAGAAGGCCCAGACTGCTGCTGACCAACCCGTTACGTCTCGGCCTCCTCCCCCGCCTCTCCTCCGGGCCCTTCGGGACGCAGCGCGGCCCTCCTCCCCACCCAGGAACCCGACTACAAACCTCCGTCCTTCCCCAGAACTAACCCTGGCCGGGTCCACCTTAGAGTGAAATCTCCTCCGCCCGATTTCCGGCAGCACCTAGGTCCATCCCCGCCGACCCGACCGCGCTTTTTCAGCGCGTCCTGCGCTACCACCGAGAGGACCGTGAGCGCGGGCTAGAGAGGCTCAGCGCCACCATAGAGAGCGGCCAGGAGCCGCCTAGAGACGACCGGGCGTGCAGCCTCCGGGCTCCTAAAGGCGGGGCCGCGTGAACTGGCGAATGATTCAAGGTGAGGCAATAGTTGCTTCAGAAGTTCCCGGGGTTTTGTTCTCTGATCTTGGAGACTGGGGAATTGAGAGGTACCTGAGGCGTCTCTTACAGCATCCTCTTACCGCGGTTTGTCAAACGTGGGTCGTATCGCAAATCTCTTCGAGTGAAATGTCGAATGTTTGCACCCCATTCCTTCTAATCTTCCAGGAATAATGAATGATTTACAAACATCTCAAGAACAGACCAGATTCCTTATTCTCACATTTTTTTTTAATTCAATCGACACATCTTCCGTAAATGCCTTTCTTTGTTGTGAATTATGAAAATAGCTGTGTTTATTATTTTTGGTGGAATATTAGCTCCATAAAGGTGTTCGTAAATTTCTGAGGGAAGAAACAACGTCACGTGTCCCTAATATCTTTATTTTTAATATGGATTATATTCCTCTAAAAGTATGAGCTCGAGCTAGTTCCTCGACAATCTTAAAATATTTTCAGGTGGGGGGTGGGAGTGGGACCAAACTGTTTTGTGTTTTTAAACAGCCAAGTGAAAAAAAATGTGAGGCAGATAAATAGGAAACTTCCGTCAAGCCCACACTAGCTAGTGATACTCTACACACCTGTAACGTGTTGCCGTTCTACCCATTCTGCGAACAGGTAGGGCTTTGCTACTCACTAAATTACACCAAAATTAGAACTAGGGAATGAAAGAAAGAACAATGGTTAATCTCCACTGTGTCTGAAGCATTTCTTTTAGTAGTTACTTTGTTGGTATTACTTAGCTAAATTTTGAGAGAAAGAAAATAAAATTTAGCCTGCTTTCAAAGATCTCACAAGACTAGGAGAGAGGAACACAAACTGGTAATCACGATGTGGTGTGATCAGTGCTATAGAGAAACAAAGCTGTAAACAAAACAAAATGAGGGATACTAAAGCAGGGGTGTCCTGGAAGATTATTGCTTGAGTTGAGCTGACACATGAAAAACTGATTTGAGACATTCATGGCCTCCAAGTAAACTACTATGCAAGCTGTGGTAAAGGAAATGAAATAGAAGGCTCATCGATGAAATTAAGGTGCATGAATAACATGGTTTATGGCATCAGTTTAAAATTAAATCAATTTCAATTCCCAGGGAAAGGAATAGGAAAGAGTTGTGTAAGTTGTGTAAGATGATAGATATAAGATATATATAGGATACAAGCAGGTGAGGGGACAAACATCATCTGAATCATGAATTGTGAAATGCTGATTATGTTCTATCGGTCACATCAGATTTTACCACTGATGATATGCTTATAAGAATTAGGACTATAGCAGGAAGGCCAGTTGTACACTTCTGCTCTGTGTTTAGGTGTGTGCCTGGCCACACATGGAGCTTATTACTTGGCCTGATGAAAAGACACATAACTTATTTGCATTTCTTGGCTATAGCACATATGAACACTAACTAGGTGTCACCTATGTATAAATATGTGGGTGATTTAGGTGTGCATAATTGTCAATTCAAATATGGGGTTATTCATATTTTACTTTTCCATCCCTTTTTGACTGTAAATGACTTTCTGCAGGGACTTACCCTTTCAGAAGTTTATATGTAAACATATTTTTCAAAATACAACCTCTAATCAGCCTCAGAGCCCTCCCATTAATCAGTCTTTTGCTAAGATGGTATATTTTGGGTAGCAAATATTTCTTCATCTAGAATGTTCATATACAGTGTGGTAAGAACTCTGTCAATGAAGTGGTGATGGTAGAAGCCAGAATATGCTCAGTTAATGAGTAGGAAGTTAGTGATTATAACAGCTGCTATTTAGAACATTTTTCAAGAAACATTACAAGTAATACTGTAGAGTGTGAGGCACTTTGTGTGTGTCTTCATTTGAGTATCATGTCTGATTTTAAAGATCAGACAATATGTTCAGTTCTTTATGTAAGTTTTGCTAATTACATTTGAACTCCCGCTTCTGCAGAACTGCCCGCCCTCTGGAAGCAAATAGCAAACTGGGTATAATATATGAAACAGAATTCCCTGCTCTATGCCACTTTGGTGGCTTTAGGGTAGTTGGTTTTCTTATATAATAGCTCAGGGTTCCTAATGCTTGAATTCAATAAGCAAAGTGAAAGCTATTTTGTTTCAATCATGTAGCATCATTTCTACAACATTTTGTTAGTTATGTTTGAGTCATGGATTCAAGGGAAGGAATCATAGCCTTTATCTTTTGATAGATAAAATTTTACAGATGTGTTACTAAAATGCATAAAAATGCAATCTAGTATTAAATCTAATAGCTACTATAATTTCAAAGTAGTGATTAGCGTAAGTGAAATTGTCAGATACCTTTAATCACTATAATTTGGTACAAACTATGATTTCTATTGGTGACAAAGTTATAAGTACTGTAGACACAGTTATAAATACTGTGGTGGTACTAGTAGATACTACTAATCTATAGTTTTTGGTAAGTTATTTAAATTATATATCTCAGCTAATGATTAGGAAAAGTAAAAAGATAGCTAATTAGGGACATAAAAATAGCTTTTAGGGACTACACAAAGTTAGAGATTATGAATATGCAGAAACAAAACATCCATGAAAAGGGAAATTTTCAATTTCTTTTCTAGTGGATAGGTGGAACCAGTGAAGGCAGTCAGCTGGATCCATTCAAGGTTAGCAGCTGTCAGTCAGATGCATCAGGACAAGGAACAGGAGGTCTAGGATTTTGTCAAAGAACTGACTTGGATGGTGAGAGTTATGGGAGAAGATGCTGCTTAAATTTGGTACTATAGTATCTCCATGGTCTGTTATCGTTAATTAATAACTGAAATGGTTGAAACCAAATAGGGAACTCTGATAAAATGTGAAAATATAATATAACTCTCAAGTTTGAAATAGAAGGTAAGGAGGTAAAGCCAGTGATTGAATTAAAGTATTTTCATTCTTGTGTTCAGAATTGTGATGAAAAAAATAGCAAAAATAGAATTAAAAAAATTATTAGCTAGTAGAATAGTTCCCTGTCCCTAAGATAAATACTATCTTCTCATTCAAGACATTTGTTGCTATACAGAGGGACAGAGAATTAATCAAAATGTAAAACACTGGCATGTAATGAATTACATTTTGGGGATAAGATGGCTTGGAAAGCCATCTTGAAAGGAAAATGGAGTCATATTAATTATTTCTTTTTCTCTTTGAAATATTTAATATTGTATTTAAATATATCACAGAGACGTGCACAAGGCTTATATTTATCACCTGATGAGTATTTTTGTCTGTATAACTATTACCCAGGTCAAAAAAATTACGTTTTCCAGAATTCTCCTTCTGCCTCCCAGTTAATACAACCTATTGCCTAATGTAACTACCATTCTAACTTCTTTCACCATACACAAATTTTGCCTGTTAATGAAGTTTGAAATTATATAGTACATACTCTTTTATATCTGGTTTCTTGTGCTTAGCATTATGTGGTATCATCCATGTTGTTTGTTGCATAGCTCTTTGTCATTGCCGAATTGTATTTCTGATGCACAAAGGCGACAACATTTTATTTTATCCATTTTCATGTTACTAAACACAGGTATTTTACAGATAATACTGCTATGAGCACTACATAATAGTTAAGGTTATGAGAACAATAGATCAAGAAGACAATGATCATTAGTATATATTCATTAAATCAAGGAGCATAAACATACATCAGGCAATAGCAAATCTGAAAATACATTTGTGGCAGAGTACTTCAACATCCTACTTTCACCAATGGACAGATCAACTAGACAGAAAATAAGTATGGACATGATAGCCATAAATAAAATTAATAGACATTTTTAGGGCACCAAAACCCCCAAAATCATTCTTCTCAAGCGTGCATAGAAACGTTCTCTAGGATTGATGACTTATTGGGTCATAAAATAAGATTAACAAATTCACAAAGAATGAAATCATGTTAAGCATCTTCTCTGATCATGAAATTATAAGCTAGAAATCAACCACTCACAAAAAGCTTGTAAAACCTCCAATATGTGAAGGTAACACCCTACTAAATGACTTTTGCTTTAATGAGGAAATCAAAGAAGAAATGAAAAAATACCTGGAGACAAATGACAATAAGTATACAACTTCCACGACCAGTGGGATACAATAAATAACAAAAAGCAAAACAAGAGAGCTCAATCTTCTCTCTTACTTTAAGGGATTACCAGGTATTATTGTTGGTTTTTATTTTTTTGGGAGGGTACATACATACTTGTTTTCGAAAGCTTAGTTCCTTTTAATGTACCACTTGGGGAATGAAAAAAGCTAGCCAAGTGAGATCTGGAGTTTGATGCCTTGGTCAAGTCCTGGCTCAGAAGTTACTTAGTGGTGTAATGTGTAGATGTTAATTTTAATTCTTTAAACTTCAAATTCTCATTCATATTATTGGAGCTAAGATACACTTCCTAGAGACATCAGAAAGCTGGATTTTTGTTTTTTCAATCCAATCATTTATTAATCATTCATAGTAACTATCTGATAGGGTTGTATTAAAAGATAAATGAGTGTGTGTATCAAGGATATTTACATACATGTGTATGTATAAGGGCTATGATAGCTACCAGTTATTGACAACTTTGCTGTAGGTTGAGCACCATATAGCTGTATTTTCTCCTGTGTGTTTTCCTTTGCACTGTACACTCTATATACTCCTGTACTTCTGGAACCAAATGTGTGGGTTTTCCACACACCAAGCAATTCTGTGATACCAGCTGAGTGTCCTACAATTTAGCTCAAGTCTGACACTATCTACCTAGAGATAACATTAGGTCACACAGATTAAAGGTCCAGTCCTCTCCCTATTTTA